ATTAAGTAGAGTGGGTGCATCATATGTACCATCAATAATTCTCTGGAAAAAGTTTAAATTTGCACCAACTCTTCTGCTGCTAATGTTTCTAAATGTAATATATGTAGTACAGGAGCAATGCTCCTGGAGCATAGTTATGCAATATATCATGTATGGTTGTTATTGAGTATGTGGCTTGCGAAAGAGAGCCTTTGTATGCTCTCAAGAAATAATTTAATATGAATTATATGGTCATTTGAATTTAATGAATTAAGTACAAAATACGAAATAATTGTACAATATACAAATATTTTTAATGCATTTTTATGGTCATTTTAAGTGCTCTTTTTACCATATTAATCTTATAAAAACATACAATACCGTCAAACATATAATATTTTAAATTTGATGAATATGAACCTAAACATATCATAGAAGATTAAAAATTATGTTTTTAATGTATTTACAAATATATATTGTTTTAGATGCTGAACAAATAATTATTAATCAAGAAGAGTCAATTTTAAAGCTTATTAAGGATGTAGATGAATTGAATAGTATGATGTCAGCAAATTTAGATAAAATCAGTTCACAGTCTGATCACTATCGGACGTGCAACAATTAATAAAAATGATTGCAGTAATATATTATTTCAATTGTTGAGTGTCATATATTTATTTTTAATAGTTTTCATTTTTTAAATTGTGTTTATTTATTTTACTTATATTTTATGTTCTTTGCACGCTGTATTATATTTAATAATATTATGATATTTATAACATAATTGTGTTCATTACATTTAAATATAGACTACTTAGTTTCTGACTGAGAAAATAATATTTTATACACAAAAAGTTTATTTACTGTAACTGAGTATGATGTAAATGTTTGATTGTACCTAATTTTAAAATTTTAATTGTAATTGTTTATAATTATATTATATTAACATAAATACATGTTATGAGTTAAGTCTTGATAAGAAATTATGTAATCAACACAATATTTTTTTCTGAATTTATAACTAATAATTATTATAAGTTATTATCTATCTATAATAATCCAACAATTTAAATATTAAAATGTAGTTTTCTGTATAAATCCAAGTCTCTACAGTCTACAGTGTCTACACTAGTACACTATTATAGACTTTAGTTTCCTTATAATACTTAATTCATACTTGTCTAATTGGTTTGTTATTACACAATACATTATACATTGCTTCTAAATTGTACACAGTAATACTGTACTCAAGACCGGCAAAAGGCACAAGAAGCAAAATTGTTTTAATATTCCACTTGAGGAGGTACAGAGTGCGACACAAATGCTCGATCAGTTAAATATTTCTATGAGATTAGAGTTGACCAACGGTCAATTGTTATGCCTCTTATAGTATTTTTAAAAAGTAAATGTAAATCTGGCAAATTAATACTGTTGGCTGATGGTCCAACAAATCACAAGTTGAATGGTGAAAGAAATGTATTTGTACATTGTTTTGAAATTTAACAAATGTCAGTCTTTTGGCAATATTAACCTTTAGTGGAGATGTGGAATGTACTGGTAAGCATATCTTTGTAAATGTATGTAAAGTTAGTCTTCGTACCTACCTAAATATAACCTATTTCTGAAAATTGTTCATGCGAACATTAATTAATGGTAATATAAATGTAGAGTAATAAAATATATTAATATATAACTATTAGATACATAAATATATTATTCTAAAATTCAAATTGTATACCTAAATAAGTAAAACCATTATTCTTAATTCTGTGTTTACCTTATCAAAATGTATAAAAAAACTAAATACAGTACCTATGTCTGTATGTTTAGGTAGGTGCGTAGTCATAAACATTAAACGCTAGGTACCGAAATACTAGTAGATATAGGTACCTAAATTAAGGTTATTATGCATGTGAAAACATTTCCAATGATGGGACACTCGATTTTAACAATAGTAAAAATTCCTCTATAAAATGTATGGGAATTTATGAAGCAATGTGATGTGTCTGGCTTTTAGGTATCTAGTATCTACTAATACAGCCACCATTACTACAAAATATGTATCTAATATTCAGAAATTTAAAATATTAATTGATAGTACTTCCATCATCCATGTACGTAACTCGGTAAGTATTAACAATTACTATATTGCTATAGTCTATAAGTAGGTACATAATATATAACTTATAACAAAGCACTGCGGAATTAATATGTTGGTATCTATACAATGTAGGTAGGTAGGAATAGGTACTAGAAAGCTTGATACAACCAGACTCATACAGGCATTTACATAAATAAAATAATCGACCTGATTCATTAAAACTGCTTAGAATAAATTATCAAATGAAGCAGCATAACTGACAGACACCAATGAAGACAAACTGTTACAAAAAGTTTAAAAGAAAACATTTTAAATTATAGGTACTAAAAATTGTTGTTCAATTGTGAACAAATATTTATATGTTTCTTTCCTCTCCTTTATTATTATAGTGGTGAAAGTATTTTGATTTGTGGGCATGTATTCTGCCAACTTTGCGGTATTGGGTCGGTCTGCTTTTGATTCTGCTGAATACCTTCTGACCATATACTATCCTGTATGTCCTCTAGAAATTTGAAATGGAGAAGGGAGCTACATTTTTTTCAGAAAGATAACAAATAAAATGTGATGACAATTTTAACAGTTATATTTATCTATATTTTAAATATATGAATTTAAGATGCACTATTTTAGGCACTCATTATATATAACTATAATTAATAATGTAGGTCCATAATACATCCAAAGTGGGGTAGGGGGGATATAGCCCTTAGCCATCTCCATCGCTATACACCTCCCCCCTGATATTGTCTACCTATAGACTTCATCACCAGCCATTATTTCCAAGTCAAAACTTACATTGAATATATAAATATTTAATTGAAATTATATAATCTAGGTATAAAGTTTTGTAGTTGTAGTTAGTTTTTTGTATTTTATATGACTCTATTGTAATTATTGTTTTAAATTTGTATATTATTTATTTTATATTTGTTCCTATTGTATGTGTTTATTATTAATTATTAATTATATATTTTAAAGTTCATTATGCCCTAAACAATTATTAAAATAGTTTTTTTTTTTGGACAATAATTATTACTTAACCCAGTGTAATAGTGTGTTAAATATTTTTAGTGTTACAAAAAACAAAAAAGTAGCAACAAAAGTGGCATGACCAATAGTTAGTCTCCTCATTTTCTTATTTATTCCTGAATCTATGTTAAACTGATATCCTTTCTATTTTAACTTTTCCTCTAGTGTTTAAGTGCCAGTTGTACCATTCATGGTTACATTTCGATTACGCTTAATCAGCTAACAGATTTTATAACCAAAGTCAGCCGATTAAACTTTGGTTAACTTTAATCGGAGATGGTACTGGCCCTAAGTCATAATGATCAGTTGCACTCTTTTATTAGGGAATAAGTTATAACACAGTATTAAACATTACAGGTTTAATGAAAAAATCAAAACCAAATTAGGTACACAAAATATATTTTTTTTAGTAAGAAACGAATAAAAATTGGCATTTTGAGAAAAAAATTTTGTTTTAGTTTCTACAAAACAATATAATATTATCGATGTTCAATGTATATTACATTTTATTATTTTAATGCATGTAGCCCTGGTTAATATTGATTAATTCAATGGCTAACATTATTTTATAAACACTTTTATAGCCTTCTCATTCTCTGATAAACTTGGTTGTCAAATACAACCCACTTGGTCAAGCTTCAATGATGCCTCACTATGATTCATCTACCTATACCATCAATATTTTTAAATTCTCTAGGAAAAAATTATCAGGTAATATAATTCCTGCACTGATTAATGTTATCTTGCTATGTTTTATTTATTATTTAAATTTTTTACAGGGAGGTGGCTGCCATTTTTCTAGGTTCTGTAAGTGTAAAGTTACCACGGATATATAAACATACATTTATATATCTATGAAAGTTACAGACATAAAAAAAGGTTGGATGATATGTATGCGAGATGGCTCACACATTACCATGAGGGACTTGAAGTCATTGATGGGATACAATATATTATGATATATCATTTATTGATCCATTACTTACCCTGGCATTTTTCAGATATACACCACAGTCAACAATCATTATTATGCTACACACAATTTTTTTGTATATTGTGCATATAGATTTTTTTATTTTATTTTTATCCAATTTAATAAACAATAATTATTCATTTAGCTAATAGGTAATTTTATAGTCAGGCATTTTTAAAATTTGTTATAAAATATAAATTATAATACACACCTCAAATTAATATATATTACAGTCAAATCTCGATAATTCATAACAAAAAGTTTTATTTACCCTCAAGTTTATTTTCATATTTTTTGAAATTTGAGTTATTGTGACTTGACTGAATCAATTTTGAAAATTATTCTATAATAAAATGTACAACAAAATAATTTAATATTATTGTGATTCAGTTTAAAATAAAAAAATATCTACTAAATGTCCTAATGACCTCCTTAAAATGTTTTTGTTTTTATTATATTATGTGTGAGTAAATAATATTATAACTTTTAATTTGATGTAAAGAATGTAAGACAAGCCAAAAACAGTCCAGCTGATGTCTAGCATTGTTATTGATTTGCCACATATATAAGTTTTTACTTTTTACTAATCGGATTAGTAGATACAAGATATACAATTTTGGTGGGATTCTCTTGGGCCTAGTTAAGAGTCATTTGAGTTATTTTATACACTATGGTTATGGTACAAGCAGTAACTAATAAGTAATAACTGAACTGTTTAATATTGCTGTTGTACACTGTTCTTGTCTATAGCAGCATAGAACAATAGGACATAGGTAGCAGTCTATGAAAATCCCGAGTCGCGAATTTAATTATTGTTGTTGTTATTATTGTTATCATCATTGTAATGACATACATCTGATATCAATTCGCTTATCGATCTGTTATCAGTGCGTTGGAAACGAGAAAATAATAATAAAGTGAGTAACACACAAATACACAATCGACATTTATTTTTCTTGGTTCTTATCGTGGTACAGCTTACAAATTAAAAAATACCAACTAAATATTGTTATTAGGATTTTTGTATTTCTTGCCGATCGAATAAAACAATCATTATTATAAGTCGTCTTAAAGTAACAAGTATCCCCCGCTGGTGTTTGGTGTCTTCTGTTGAGCATTTCATTGAACTACACAATCGACTGTGATTCTTTGTTTCCATTTCGTAAGTCATTCCTACCATTTGTATTCACCATATTGCAGTTTTGTTCCGTAAAAAAATCATAAAAGAATAATTATACACATATTCTTGTTACTTACAATATACTCTGTATTTTACAAAGCATACGAATCCAACAATATTCATATATTATGGTATTACAATACATGTAAGATGTCATTTATACAATGAATATTACTGTTCAATTTCATGTAAAAATTGTTGAAGAATTGTTAATTATACACTGATTCCGAGAAATATACACCAATATGAAAGTATTTCCATAATTAGAGTGGACATTATATGTTATCTATCTCCTTGAATTGATAGCATAAATAATTGGAAACTGGTAAATGAGGACCATTATATAAAATTTGCGTATGCATCTTCATAACTCCAGCATCAGATTTTATAAGGCATTTAGAATAGATATTTTCTTTTTAGAGAGAAATAAAATAAAAGTATTTGATTACCTATATTTTGTATAACTTATTTCAACTTCTAAGGAAAGTCTCATGTATATTCAAAGAATTTATTGCTGATACTGGCATACAACATATTGTTACAAAATCTTTCTATTTAATTGACAAATCAATATCTCACTGTCATCATTATGATATTAATTAATACATCCATTATCCCAATACCTACCTTGTAGTGTATATTGATAAGGATCAGATTATGAATCTCTTAAGATATAATTTATTATTGTTGAATCAAATTAAATTTAAATATGCTCTTTTTGACAAATATCTAATAAGTCACTGAACTAGGTGTTTGGAAGACTGATTAAGTGCTCTAGCTTTTAGTCGAGCTTTTAGTTGATGTTTCAGAAAAAATTAAATTTATGAATGTATGTAACTGATATGACGTATATCACATACTATTTTCTTTAGAAGGTTTTAGATTTTTCTTCTTTTTTTTTAAATAGTTAGGAAAACTATGTAATTAGATGTAAATGTTATATATTGAACAATTAATAATATAACTTATTATTTAATAAAATAATTATAAATACAATCATATTGGAAATATGCATGCACATAATAGGTATGCGCCTAAGATAACTGAAATGTGCAGCTAACAATTTTTTTTAAATAGCATTAAAAATCTTGATTTACTGAATTCAAGTTCTAACAATGTCTTTAAATTTATAATTTTATCGTCAATGTTGAATAACCAAATATCGCCTATTTTCAATTACCTTAATTTCACTAACTAAAAAACAAAATGCTATGACTTGTTCTATATGTACAATATATTGGTAGACATATAACAGCAAAAATAAAATAACATAAACTATCAAAATGTTTTTACTTAAAATAAAACAAGAACATTTTTATGCCAAGACAACAATTAAATTGCCAAAAATTGGCTAGGACGATATTTTTTTGGCTCTGGAAGTATAAATCTAAATGCCTAACCTTTTTTTTTGTAATAAAAAATATTCATTGGTACTTATGTAAAAATAATTATTTCATTGTATATTTATTAAATTCATTATAAATGAGGGTAACTAATACAGTACAAAGTAATAAGTCATAAATTAATTAAATTTAACTAATAATATCACAACTAAATACAAAATTGCATTGCATAACATGTAACAAATTAATTGGGTAAAATTATCATTCAAAGAATTTTATTTTATAATATCTGACATTCATTATCTAAGTTCTCAATTTACTTTTCAATTGTTTCATAACTTCACACGAAACTATACTGTTGGATAGGTATTTGTTTATTAGAACCAGTAGACATTATTAAGTTTCATTCTACAAATTTTGCATTCAAGTATTTATAATTTTTATAATTGAAAATAGGTGTAAAATAGGTGTTCACAAGCCATCCATCAAGTTTTAAAATAAATATTTAAAATTTAATTATAATATTTAGTATTTTAAGTGCAATAAAAAAAAACTCATTCAAGGTGGCAACTAAGATATAAAATATAATTTTCAAACTTAATGGAATTTCAGAACATTTAAAAAACCAGCACTGGGTATATTAATAACAGCTACTAATATTATATGAACTATGAAATAATATTTTAATTATTATTATATAATATGAAGAATTTATTTTAACAAAATTTAGTTTAACTATCCGTATAATAAATAAAAAAATTTTTTTTACCAGTATAAAATATATAACGTAAACTGGCTCTGTTAGTATGCTTTTATCGTAGCCAATGATTTATCATCAGTTCAAATTTAACAGATCTATTTCAGATACTTACTATATAGTTGAGTGGGTTTTTCATTGGTTTTTTTTGTATTAAAAATTTAATTTTTATGTTTCAGTCGATTTTGCCAGATATCAACATTTTTCATAATGGTTTGTGTTCCATGTGTGCTTGTACCGTTGTTGCTCTTCTTATGGGGTATTATCAAGCCTATGTTAAACTGGTTCAGGACACCAGTAGAAAATTCTGAAGACCAAAATAACACTGGCGATGATCAAGTTTGTTCATTGCTGTCATCTTGCCCGTGCATCAATAAAAACATAAAATCATCCACGGATCAAGCAGAAAACAAGATGAACAAGAGTGGAACATTACTTAAAGAACCACTCGAAACATCTGATACCAACAAAAAAGACCTTTAAATGCGCTATTACTTTAATTATAAGAACATAAAATGATTTTTATTATAGCTGTGGTTGATTGTTGATGGTTCTATTAGTTTATACAATCATTTTTATTTAATACAATGTTATAATCTATATTTTAATGTCTTCTGCTTATTCAATCATAGACGCAATAAACTGTTTTAAGTTAGAATCAACAAATTTCACTAAAAATGGTATTTTAGATTAGTCAGAAGTTTAAATATAATTTGTTATTGAATCTATCAGTTTATTTTTACAGAAGACTATTTTACCTGAATTTTATTTACCCTTTGTCATGATATGTTACTTGTAATCATTGTATTTATTATCATTCCATGATCATTGTAATTACATTCAAGATCTTTTCATTTTTTTAAAAAACCAACTTTTAATTACAATTCAAATTTAAAACGAATGTAAAAGAAAGAGTTTTACCTCTTTATGTTTATGTTTTTAGTTGTGTATACATGATGGGAAATATATTAATAATTGAATTAATATTTCTCCGCTCATATTTAACATATCTTAAGCATTTTTATTGTTGAATAGAAATGTAATTTGAATAATAATTGTTTAATTTTACCATGAGCCATTGACTTTCTTAATGAAGTTATTTTGATGACACCTTACATTTTATTTTAATTTATTATACAATAAATTCATTATTATGGTATTAACTGTTTATTAGGTACTTAAAATTTTTTAATTTTTAATAGTTTTTTATAATTTTAACAGTCAATACATTTGAATCAATTATACACTAGTGTAATCAGTAAGAGTAATAATTCACTATGTAATTTATCACATATTGTTTTTAATTTATGTTTAAAAAGTGTATTATTAATAAAATTATTAAAAATGTACTTTTTTAATATTTTTTATTATCAAATTATTCTGTTATATAGGTATACAATTAATTTATGTTATTATAACCTGAGTTTGGGACTTGTTGCATTTGAAAATTCTTTATTTATGGCTGTAGAGTATTTATAGTATGATTTACCTACATTTTTTTTAAACATAACAAACCTAAATACATACATTGAAATTGCATAATTTGCTAATTTTTAGACTTCATACATATTTGACAATTTTTGGCAATTTAATTGTTGTCTTGGCATAAAAATGTTCTTGTTTTATTTTAAGTAAAAACATTTTGATAGTTTATGTTATTTTATTTTTGCTGTTATATGTCTACCAATATATTGTACATATAGAACAAGTCATAGCATTTTGTTTTTTAGTTAGTGAAATTAAGGTAATTGAAAATAGGCGATATTTGGTTATTCAACATTGACGATAAAATTATAAATTTAAAGACATTGTTAGAACTTGAATTCAGTAAATCAAGATTTTTAATGCTATTTAAAAAAAATTGTTAGCTGCACATTTCAGTTATCTTAGGCGCATACCTATTATGTGCATGCATATTTCCAACAATTCAAATGCAATGAGTTCCAATCCCTAATCTCAACGATGAACTATAAACAGGATGGACCACTTGACAGGTGATGCCAATATGATTTTGTCATTAATCTAAATTTATTTACCCTTTTAAAATATATATTGTAAAATACTGTTTATTTTAGTTTGTGTTGGATACTTGATAGTGAATATTGCACTTATGATCGAAATGCTTAAGGTCCACATGTTATAGATGTTAGAAAGACCCATGTTACTTAACTAAATAGCAATGAAATTAATTTTTTACCCTGATTGATATTGTCCGTGACAAATAAAGTGTCCGTGGAAGGGAATACCTTCTAATACAATAATAATGAACAAACTGCAGTTTGAAACAAAACTCGACTAATATTTAATTATTGCTGTTTTCTAATATGTTAACTAAGTTATGAATTATAGCTTATTGATACATTGGAGATTATTTTAAATATTTTATTGGATATTTTTATGGTGTATTTGTATTTGTAGTTATTTCAAAATTAATATTCAAGGGTTTGATTGACCCCTTTGTGATCAGGGACTTATTGGGTCATCGAAAAAACAACAAATTAGGGAGCAGTAGGCCAATAGCGAATATGAATAATACATATAACTATACAGTCTACAACAGTATAACAGAAACTGAATAATAAGTAATAACAATAACTCTAATCAAAAGACCAATCTCGCTAGTCAGTAAAATATAGTAAATCCATAATACATTTTATTTTTAAAGCCGTTTTAAAGGTTTATTTTATGATTAAGGTTTTAATCAGTTTCTTTTGTACTAATATATATTGTTGTACTATTATTAAATATTATCTATTGCTACTGGTAAGGTATGTGTCTTAGTACATAAGTAAATAGTAATTTGAAGTATTTTTCAAACAGTACATATATAATATATATATATATTTAAAGTAGGCAAAGTGGTCTATTTTTTTAACTAAAAATTACATTAATTAACAATTAGGTATCTTATACCTATCTGTTTATGCAAAACCTCACTTGCATATAATCATTTTTATAGGAACAATGGATACACTATAAAACGTCATTAAATATTCACCAGACTGGCTCGAATTCCAATCCGTCCCTACGAATGATGACCATCACAAGGGAATCTATGAATATTAATTTTTGGATTCCAACTTCAAAAGTTTCCATTTTTTTGCAGCCATGCACTACAGCAACCAACAAAAGTACAAACTGACATAATGAACATTTAAGAACCCAAAGAAAATCCAAAGCGGAATGAAAAATGTAAATGTACCAAGTACAGTAAAGTATAAAGTAAGTAGATCTGTATTCAGTACAGAATCTCAGAACATGATGATAATATTAAAATATTATTTTGTCGAGCGAAAACAAAAAAGGCGCCAAACAAAAGACCTCGGAAGATTCGGGCAAACTGAACGAAATCAGTTTGTTTTGATGGCGATCTTTAATAACAAGAACATGGTTGTGATCGGTACTTACTTCACGATTGTTATGATTGATATTAGAACGTTTGATAAAAACTCGACAACAAATCGATATCATGAACGATGATACCATTGTTAACATCTTTTTTCTCTCTTGTTTAAATGTGGCCGGGTAAGTTTCCTTGTCGCTCTGAACCTTCTGTGCGAGTAAGAACCATCGTTTCTCACTCCTTTACGTTGGCCCAAAAGCGTGTTTACTGTTTGGTGAAGATAGGAATTTCATTACGAAATACGAATGCCTTGTCGGCGTTTCCATATTATGTAATATGTTATAATATTATGTTTGATATGAATGGAATATAAGAATAATATTGTGTTTGAGTAGTGTATTCAGTGTCCACAAGACCGACCACATTTCTAGTATTTTCAATATTCCACCGTTTTGTGAGTGCGTTTCTTATCTATATTGATATTTTTGAATTTTCACGATTATCATTATTTACTATTCTCCGTTGTTTTGAATTTTGTCCCAACAAGTAATGTTTAAAGTCGTCGGCTTTGCGAATGTTTGTACGCTTATAAGAAACAGAGTCAGTTAAATTAATATTAGAACGATGGAATCTAATAACCCAGAGTCTATGGATGTATCAGGTACTCATGTTTATAGTTTTGTATTTTATTTACAGACACCGTGTCATTTCTTACGTATTGCTTATTTTTAATTTTTAAATACCGTAGATCAAGAGGATATATTCATTGAAAATGGCATCTCTAAAAAAGTTGATAAAAATAATGTAAAACGTAAAAAACGTAGAAAGTGTTTACGTGACAAAACAGCTCCAAGACCTCCACATTCTGGTAATTAAATACCTATCAATTAATACAATTGTTTTAGTTAGTTACATAAGCTAGATTAATTATTTGTCTACATTTACAGGATATATACGATTTTTAAATGATAGGCGTGAACAATTTCGTTCTGAAAATCCCAATTTACCATTTGCAGAAATAACCAAGGTATTGGCTGCTGAATGGAACCAGTTGACAGCAGATAAAAAACAAGTAATTGCTTTGTAATATAACTATTATAAATTATTGTTATGTTGATTATCAGTAAAAACAAATATTTAGAAAACTATCCACCAATCATCATCAGACTGCTGTCTCAAAGTAGAATACACCTGGTCTTTGCACTTTTTCCCCCTTACTACCTAGTACCTATGCCATTATGTGGAAGAAGCGTACGGCCGGACGGATATGTGCCGTCACTCGGTGTATTTTACTTTAAAACAGAGTATAGAAAGAATTAAAATTATTATTTTAATGAAATATTGTATTTAAAATTTGTTTAGCATTATCTCTTGGCCGCTGAACAAGAACGAGTAAAATATGTTGAAGAATTGGCAGCTTATAAAAAGACTGATGCATACAAAAATTTTATTCAACGCAAATTGAAAAAAAAAAAAGTTAATACCCATATTGAAGAAGTTAGTTAAACTAATAAATTAAATTATTTTTACAAAACGTTTATGTGTTAAAAATGTAAAATTAATATAATATTTGTGATACTCAGTCCACAAAAAAATGTTTGTTTTAGTTGAATATTTTTTAAAATTCAGGATAATTCTTTGAGTAGCTCTTTATTCATTAATTTATTAATTTATTGAATTATTTTTTAATAACAAATAGTAATTCAACTATTCCCTAATAATTTTATAGTTACAAGTAAAAAAGTTTTATTTTATTTTAAATTGGAATTTTGAATAAAGATAATTGCATGAAAAATATTTTTTACAATTTAAGATTTTATAAAATTATACTAATTCATTGTTAATAATTGTTGACTAACTATGTATATTTTATTTTGTTTAGGATCAAGAATTAAAAAAGGAAAAACCATCAAGTGATATCAAATTAAAAAAGGTTACTTTTGATATTTTTTGATACTGTAGATTTGAATAAAGAAATTGCTTGAAAAATAATATTTCATACCGATTAAGATTTTTTAAACTACATATTTAATGTTAAAAATTATAATATTTTTATCTATTTATTCTATTTAGGATCAAGAAATAAAAAAAGAAAAACCATCTATTGATATCAAGTTAAAAAAGGTAATAATGTAAATATTTTTTTTTATATTGGAGATTAGAATAAAGATGGTTATATGCAAAATATAATTTACATAACTGATTAAGATTTTACAAAATTGCAAATTCATTGTTAATAATAATTATATTAACAGTAAAAGTATGGATTTCGAAGGCATTAGATTTTTTTTCTATTCCTCTAAAACGAAGCTATGTCAACTAAGTTTGATTTATAATACTTCGAAGCAAAGTCATAAAATTGTATTTTGCTTTTTTGGGTTTTTAGGTACTTTGTTTGCTTCTAAGTAACATTTTGTCAAAATGGGTTCTTAATAAAAGTATTTGAAAGGTTAATATTTATTTATATATTATATAATGTGTTTCAAGGACATGGCTTCATCAATTTTATCTCCATATTTTTGATTTAATTTATCTATAAAAATAAATACTCGTTCAGTCTATCCTTGACACCTTATGTCGCGAGTCATTTTTTTGTATTTGTAGAGTTTTATTGCTTTATTTTGAATTCTTTTCTTTATTTGTTTGTTGTGAATAGAAATAGTGTTATTAAAATAATGTAATGGTTTAAATTGAATGCTTTTTTGGTAGATTTGTGAAGTTTTATTGTTTAACTTTTTTTCTTCTTCAAAATGTGTACTCTATTAAGAACTATGTATTTATTGTGTTTAGGATCATGAATTACAAAAAGTTAAACCAACCAGTGATAATATTAATGCAGTATATGACATACCTATATATTCTGATGATTTTTTAAACTTCAATAAAGGTCTGTATTTGTTTTATGGTACTTATTTTACTTATGTATTATTATTTATTTACTGTTATTTTTTTTATAGGGAGAGATAGTGATCTTAGATACATCCGCAAAAAGGTAACAGATCAAGCACAAGAAGTTTCTGTTTTAGATAAACATATTGAAAATATGCAAAATGGTATAACCAATTTAATGGCTAATTCTGAAAAACTCAAAGCCGGATCCTCAAAGTATGAACAGTATTTAATTAAATTACGATCTCAATTTCTAGATGCTTTTGCTAACATTGCATTCCCAGGTAAATATTTCAAATAAATAAAATAATTGTTTTTTTTTTACTACTATTTTAATAATTAATAGTTATCTAATAAAAATGATTAAATTTAATATGCACACTATTTAGATCATCGAAGAGTGACAAATTTCATCTAAATTATTTTAGTTTATTACTTGTGCAAAATTAACAATGAATGGGAGATGTCAAAGGATCGACTGTCTAAAATTCTAACTGTCCGTAGTGGCTTAGTATAACACTTCCACAATTTTGTATTTTAAACCATGGTCTTAACCTTATCTAATATTTAGTTATGTGACTGTCAAAATGAATAACAATTGTAGATCAAATGCACTTTACTGGGTTGGATACCAAGACATCCTTTATTTTGCAATTTTTTTTTTTTAACTTGCGACTAGTCAAAATGTTAAACCACTATTTTAACAAATATCTATTACAGTAGAACCTCAATTGTCCAGCGCAATGGTTTAGAGGGGTTAAACAAGACTTTTTATTTAACAATTATAATAATGTACCATGGTTATGTCTTATATGTAGATATCAATATCATATTCACACTAAGTGTATTCAATCCTATAAGGGTTTTAACTTCAAAACGTGGGCATTTCAAATGAAGCTGATTTCATATGTAACATTTCATTTTGAGTATTGATGCATATTTAGGGGGTTAATGCATATTTAGGGGTTTAATGCATATTTTGTTATTAAAATAACTTTTTAAAGTAAAAATTAGGATTAGTTTGTTGATCAACAATTGATTTTAAATAATCACAGAAATCTTTCTAAAAATCAAAATTTTTATTTTTTTTTGTTTTACATAATTTTGGTTTGAACACTATATTTATTTACAACTATGCTACTCTAAGAAAATAAATAATTACATGGTTACTACCCCAGTTTATGATGGATCTTTCATTGAACCTATTGAATTAAAACTTATACATAATATATAATTTTTTAGTCAAAACTTGACCTTTTTTTAATGAATATAATTGTGATTAACTGAACTTTTTATTTATTTTACTTCAAAGATAATTTGACGATACAGCCTACTTAAGATATTCTTTGTTAATAATGACAATCTTAGATAAAAAAATTTTGACTATTTGTTTTTGTCCAAAGTTTTAATGCATATAATGCATATAATGCATAATTTATGTTTTTTATGTTCACATTAGAGCTTATTTTTCCATTTTGATCATGCCTATTAAGTATTTTTTTAGTGCATTTATTTTCCAAAAGGTTATTAATGTTTGTCTATTTACTTATATGTAATAAAAAGTGTTAGACCCTAATAATACTATTTGTTATATAGTTCATACATTATTTATTTATTTAATTATTATTATTTATCAACTGTAAATTAATACTGATACAGTTTAATATGCACAATTATTAGTTTATTGAAGAATGAGAAATTGCATCCAAATTCTTTTATTCATCTAAACTCTTATTACTTGTGCAAAATTAATAATGCACGGGAGTTATCAAAGCATAGGCTGTCTTTCTATTCCTTATTCACAGTCTTAAAAGTATACAGGACGTAACTGAAAAGCTTAACAAACAAAAAATGAAAAATTGACAGTAGTTAACAAACTTATGAAAATTGTGTGAATAATAAATAATTTAAAATACATTTATGTTTGAAAATTCTATAAAAGAATATTTAAAAAAAAGTTTTTTATATTGATTTATTCCAAAAACATATTGATATTTTAATTAACTGCAAAAAATACACTACTTGACTTATATAAACATTTTTACCGTCAAAAAATCAATTAACAAAATCGCTATTTTGAATTTTTAAGAAAAAAACTTAAATGAAATCTTCAGTATTAAAAATAAAAATATGATTTTTATACAGTAGTTGTAATTTGTAACTCTGGCGTCTATAAATTATACATAAACTTTTTTTTTATATATTGATCAGAACAATTAACTTTTTCCATTTTCAGGTTTTTCTTTTACACCTTATTTATATATCTATTTGATCATCCCCGCGATTTATAACAGTTGTTGAAACAAATGCACATTACCGGAAGCTCTTTTTTTAGCCCTGGAAAATACAATTTTAAAAATGGTGATGCAAATGCAATTTGATTATTAATAAATGATTATTTATATATTATGTAACTTAACACATTAGGAATAAATAAAATATAAATCTTAGTGATAGAACTTTTGTACATTTTATGTTGAGGTATTTGTACATTCAAAATAATTTAAAATAACCAAATAATATATTATTCTATCTATAATCTTGTTTGTTATTTAATAAGCTTATAATTATTATAATTAAACTTTATATTTCTTTCTGTAGATGACATTGAGCCACCTACCGAAGAAACTATTGACACATTTATAGTTAATTTAGTTCCACTTCTATCAACTGATAATGCTACAGAGCCTTCCTGGATTGCAAATGTAAAACAGGTTATTTCTAATCTGGATTTTTCACAATGTTAAAAGAAATTATATTTTAATTTAAAAGTCATAAATTATCCAATTATGTTTCAAATAGTCAACATTTTGTAACTGGTATCTTTCTTATTTAGAAATCTGAAATAATAAAGAATTTTTTTACTATTATACTTTTTACTATGCAAGTTTATGATCATGATTTATAACTTATACTTTTTTTTATAGCAATCATAAATTTAATTTCAAGTTTAATCTTGTTTGATAGTTATTACCAGTCTAGTTTTTATGAATATAAATGTATCTTTATAAAGGTTTCTTAGCCTCTTCTTGAACATGAATCCCTTTAAGATATAATGTATTATTAGTTTATGCTAAGGCTCAAGAACCTTCCCCAATTTTTTTTTATTATTATTTAATATTTCAATGTGATTTAGCTTTTATTTCAAATAATATAGGAAATCCAGACATATTATTTCTATTAAATTTTAATAAAATTAATAAAATTTTTTTATTTTTGCATATTTTATTCAAAATGCATATAAATGTATATTTAGAATTCAAGAATATTTATTTTTAAAAACAAATGTAAAATTGTATTTTTGTAATGAAGATCAGTAACATTATAGTTTGATTTGTTGTAAATATACTATATATACTATACATAAACTGATTTGGTGAATTATATGAAGTAAAAGAGATTATATCTTAATTGACTCGTGCGCTATGAACTATGGTTCAATGGTTAATTTAATAATCGTTTGTAGGGGGTGTATGGAGTGTGTTTGCGGTGTAGATAAAGTATTTTATATTATTTTTACATTTAATATACCTAACGTATCGTAATTTTATTGCAGGTGTTGAGGTGGTTCAGAGATAATCCACCTCTCAGTGTCTTTTTTTAAATACCTGTAATTTAATTGTGAATATTTGCTTTTAAAATATTTTAAGATTTCAAAATATAAATGAATGGACAATGGGTTAACTATTATCACGTTTAAAAGATAAAGCTGATAGAAACTTAACTTAAAACCTCTAATATAATTTTTACCTAAAACTTAAATCTTCGTGGTATGAATACAGAATAAATAAAAACTGTTAATAATTATTATTTTTGTAAATAACATAATAATAAGGCTAGGATTTTAATGCCCTAAAAAGACCTAAAAAAATATACTGAAAAATGCAAAAAATGCTTTTATGCCTTAAACATTTAGAATAATGCTCTAAAAAAATTTTTTTCCATAGGTTCATCATAAATTCTAATATAAATTAGTTATACCTAAATTATGATACACAATTTAATTTATTGTTAATAAGTTAAACAGAAAGAACTGATTGCTTTAGACTTCTTTTTTCTAGAAAATCAATTATTTCTATTTTTTTGTAGATAGGTTTAGATCATATATTTATTTGCCTGTTCATAGTTTGTTAATTTTATAAAATATAATACAATTTAAAATTCGAATTTGTGTAAAATACAAAAATGTATGAGGAATCTTTATTTAAGTTTTTAAATCTTAGCTACCTATGCAAAAAAAAATATTTTTTTGAATTTATATCTGAAAAATAATTTTCAATTTTTAGGATTTTGAGAACTTTCATCAAAATCGTAACATTGGTAATAGCATAACATTAAAATTTAGAGTATCTATGATTATTAGTTTTTGAGTTGAATCAAAAAATTCAATTCAATTTTGTTAACGATTGGTCATTTTGTTTGGAGCCGAATTTCACATTTCTCCATTATTTTTTATTCATTTTCAACGTGATTTTGAATATTATTGTGCATTTTAGATTTCGGCTTTTCCTATGTACCAACTAGATTCACTTTCCTACCAGACAAAATGCAGAAGTAAAAAAATTACAGCATTTGTACTACCCCAAAAGTTGATGATAGACTTAATGCTCTGTGAACTCTTGCTACTCTTAGAATCTAAATTATATTGAATTAATTAATACAAATTGAAACTATATTAAATTGCCAGTTTAAAATTCAAATATTATAAATTATAGATTACTGGGTCCTTAAAATTAATGGTAGGTGCATGCTGTACTATATGATTTGAGCCTGTAGTAGAGTTAACGATTGCAGGTCAAATAATTTTGTCATTGGGCTCCTAATTATATAAGTCTGCTCAAAACAGTTTTTCAGGATATTTGAAAAAAAATGTTTTTCATTCATATATATTTAAATATCAATAAAATTTATAAAAAATCAAATCAATTTTATACAGAGTTATTAAAAATAATTTACCTTTTAAAATTGGTAATATTCTACCTTAATATTTTTGAATAAAATATATTTTAACTTATACCTACTAAAAATATTAAATTATACTAGTTAACAATTTTAGTACAAATTGCCAAGTTAGGTAATTATGTAAAGATGAATTAAATCAATTATTTTAGTAGGTAGGTATAAGTGCCTAACTACCAATTAATATAGGCGTTGAAGAAACAACCACCTTTTGATTTTATTAATAAATCTATTAGAGCAGATTATTTAGGAAATCCATTGCAATTATTTTTAGTGACAACAGGAGCAGGAGTTTTCTACGATTCAATTAGCACATTGCTTGGCTTACCCGAAACATAGTTTATATTAAGTACTGCCTTATTGCTTTGACGACCAAATTCAGTATTTTTATTATAATACGAGTAATTCAATAATAGTATAAATAATCGTCGCCCACCACTGATCGACGTTAATATCGTTCACCAAAGGGTTTTACTTAATTTTAAATTTGTTATTTTAACACTGGTTATAAACTAATTACTTAGGTACCTAGGTTGGCAGGTATATCGTATTTAGGTACCTACATATCTAATCTTAAACCGCATTGCTATTCTATATCTTATTTATTTCTCATGTTTTTTCAAAATTCAAACTACACTGTATGCCTATATATATTATATTTATATGTGTAGGTATTAGTAGTTATACAGGTACACGGGTGGCCAAACCGCGGTTCGCGTCTTAACATAATTTTCTACTAATATAATGGTTAACAGGTATTCTTCCTTTTCCTGCTCTTTCATATTGTTTTTCATTACATTGTGCGGCTTGCGATTCTGTTATTTCTGGCCAGTCCTGTTATATTATTTCACTCAATACTATAAGTTACTTAGGTAAATATATTTTATAAGTTAATAACAGTACTTCTGACATATCAAAATTAACTATTTTTTTTCAATGTAAATAATAATTGTCCTCAAACTTGCATTAAATTGGATGATGTATTCTCAAGATAGGGAGTGGGGGGGGGGGGGTTTTATTTCTATCAGAGCCCAAATGCACCTTATTCGCCCGTTGCGCCTATAGGTACTTAAATATGGCATCTGTACAACGAAATTCACAATCGACGCTCAAACATCTACTTATGAATAGAATAAATTAAATATCAGTTAATATTACGATTTAAAATTAAAATATACAATAGCGGTATTTAATAATTAATTGAAGTTTAAAACAATAAAACGTTCATAAAAAAATTTCTAATAGGCATAGTTACAAATAGCTTAATGTCCAAACGTATACAACATGGAAAGTGTCTGTCTTGAAACTTTAAACAAACATAATTTTGTCAAATGGTTTAATTTAAAAACAAAACTAGGAAGGTACTATTAATACAATCAAATATTACCTATGGTACCTATATAGACCTAGTATTGACGTAGGCAATGTGGATTGAACACCTTGGACATAGGTATTTATTAAGTATAAAAAAGCGTAGCTAATAAGGTCCTGCAATGAAATTATGTGATATGAAAGTCAACCTAAATAATGTATTTAATCTTGTAACTTTTATGAGTTTCTGAACGTCCAGGGTCGCAATGTTTTGAAAATTGTATAATAGCATACCTCTATAATTACAGTATTACTTATTTAGTTGGTAATGTGTACTTAATCAAATAATATTGGTGAACATTTCAAACCTATGTGTAGCAAGTGCAGTAACTAGCTGTAAAGTGAATACTTACATTTAGCCATTTAGGTATATATATGTTGACATGTTGTTACTCCTACCTATATACCACACACGCGTGACACGCGAATGACGAATGGTTACCCCAAACTACTCCATAATAAATCATAATAAATTTCACTCGACTACTGGCTACTGCAACTGTCAATAAATTATAAACCTATATGTTATGATACAGTCGAATAGTATAGACTATAGATACTTGTGCACTGTATACCCAATAATAATATATATATTTCAATATTATAATAATTATTATAGAGCATATATTTTAAAATATTGTAACGAAGTTACATCGTTAGAACCGTCTCAATCAGATGATCACGACAGAGACTTGTTTACACAATGCGTGTAGGTACATTGGACATAGGACAGGTAAGTACATAATACATATTATATATATCTACATAACATAGGTACCTATATAGACCATTATATGCATATGCCATGGTACATATAATATTATTATATTTATTATAGATAGGTACTCGGGACAATTAGGCGATGTGTATAGTAGTAATTTTAAAGCAACACACACACGCACACACATATACACACACATAAGCATATATATATATATATTATATTATATATGTATAGTACCTAGGTATATATAACGAACGTAGATAATCTATCGTAACGACCGCGGACCGTAAAGGTGTTGTTCGCCTCCCACGTCGTATACATGCGTACCCATATAATATAGGCTATACGTATAGGTTTATGGGAATCTCTCTCTAAACATACTTATATATATATATATGTACATACCGTACATTTAACCACAGGACCGTGATTTGCAACTTTTATCCATTCACAGGGACAAGAGCTTGATTAATTTCCAATTGTTAAAACAGCGGGTACGGTCTTTTGTTTGATTAATTGTTTCCTATACCTATACATACCTACCTACATCGACCGAACGTTTTTTGATTTTTTTTTTCTTCTTAGGGCTGCGCCCAATCCGATGTATATATATATATGATATAATATAGTCAAGTCGGCGAGTATGGCGTTGTTATACGTCATGATATAGTGCACAACATTACATTGTCCGAGTCGTCTTATATAATTTTAAAATAATGGTAAAAATACGAAACGACAATGCTATTATATGCATAGGTTATTGCCGGTAATACTGTAATAGGCATATTTATATTCATTTCTATGGTATTTTTATGATAATAATTGAAAAAAATGATTATGACACATACCTACCTGAGTATACTATGTAATATACTAATATAATGTACCTATCTATATAATAATATTATACTATCCTGGCGGCTGGCACAATATTAATGAACACGCGATTCTCGAGGTCCACGAGTGACGATTGATTTTTTAACGTGTACCTATTATAGGTATGGAATAGTATGATGTAGGTAGTATGTTATTGTAGCAGTTGTAGGTACCCCGTATACCCACCTACGTATAATATACCTAATTAGAAGTTCTTATTTATTGCGAACGGAAATCTCACTGTCCTCTAAAATATAAGTTAGGTTAATGTATTATCATACATAACGTGCCTACCTAGTGCATTTTCTGGTGCTGTAAATGTTGAAATTCATTTTAAAAGTCAACGAAAAATATGTCAAATAAGTACCAAAAAAGTGATGACAAATATTGACCATTGGGTACTATTATATACAATATATTCATAATATTATACCTGGGTATACTGTTGTAGACCTATCTTTCGAAAGGTACCAAAAAATGTAATAATCCACAACTATTCGAATTACCTTTTATTATTAAAAACAAAAACAAAAATATGAGACACAATCAAACACACGGGCCTCGCTGGAGGACCCGCACTGCCTCCATATCTTAGTGCTTACGTCCTTAAATATAATTTACAAAGTGCTGCCTCAGCTCATTTGCTTCATTGGCCTATTATTAAGAATACTATACTTTTTAAATTGTTTTGTTTTATTTAACTTAGTATGTGTGCCCTAAACTGGTTAGCACATACAACGATATTAAGAACCTATTTACCGTTTTCACGCATCCAAAATGCGCAATACTCTCGACACTTATTTTTTTCAGATAAATGAAATCCACATACTCAGAAGAGAAATAAATCTATACTACTAATTACTATATATATATATATTAATATATTTATACTACTATATAAAATGAAGTCGCTTTTTTTTGTTCGGGATAAACTCCGAAACTACTTATTCAATCGTCGTGCAATTTTTTTAAAATTAAAGAGGACATCACAGAGAAGGTTTAAGGTGAAAATGTAGTCCGATAAAGTTAATAAATTATTAGTTATTATTAATTAAAATAAATTTGTAAATTGTATACCTATACCTTTTTTAGTCGCTGGCTGAAAATAAATAACAATCAAACTCGGCAACCACAGATATAGAGGTATAGATTTTCGTATTGATTTTAATATCGCCGTACGCTAATATTATTTTCGTTGTATGGACTGTGTAATACTTTTCTATCGTTTTCGGTAGAACACGTCTTTTTTCCATTTTGATTGTTATTTTATTAACTAGCTGATGAAGTCAACGCGTCTTTAAAAAGATCCTATACTTATGGCCCTTATATAAAAATATTAGAACTTAAAACTAATATGAGAGTGCTATGTACAGATCAAGATAATAAAAATGTTGTCAAAGATTTACTTTTAATAGGCAAAGGCGAATTCCAAGCAACGAATGATAAAATAAATATTAAAAGTTTTTTTAATTCAGTACCCACTATAACAAAATTGATTCAAAATGTGTACCCGAACATTCAAAATAAATCATTGAAATGGTTTCAAGAAAGGGCTATTTTGTCACCAACAAATGAGCAAGTCGGCAAATTAAAAGATTTGATTCTATCTAGGTTTGACGCTCAACCACAAATGTACTATTTAGTTGATACGTTTTTAGAAAAAGAGGATGCAGTCCATTTCCCAATTGAATTTCTTAACTCTTTAACGCCTTCTGGAGTCCCACCACATACACTGATTTTAAAAATAGGGGCACCTATTATTTTAATGAGAAATTTGAGCCCACCCACACTTTGCAACGGTACAAAATTACAAATCAAAAAATTTAGAAGTTTATTACTTGAGTGCATAATATTAACAGGCTGTGGTAATGGAAAAATTGTTTTAATACCAAGAATACCAATTATACCCTCAGATTTACCTTTTAAGTTTAAACGTATTCAATTTCCCGTTAAATTAGCATTTGCAATGACTATAAATAAAGCACAGGGACAAACACTTAACGTTGCTGGAATTGACCTAAGCGTTCAATGTTTTTCTCACGATCAACTATACGCCACCCTGTCACGTGTGACATCCAAATTTAATTTGTATATTTTTGCCCCCGATCCAGAAAAAGTTTATAACGTTGTTTACAAAGAAATCTTTGAATTATCAAAATACTGCCATAATTCATATCTTTGGTTCCATCCATAGTTATACCTACAAAATGTACATACACAATTTACATACAATATGCATATACATTTACCACTACATACTAAATAATTTTTTTTAAACATTATGAAGAATTCGCGGTGGAGACACTAAATTTATATGGCTACATTACCACAAAGACGTGACTAAAAGTGGCCTAAAATAAAAATAATTATTTAACATCCAGAAAATAAATAGCAAATTAATATCTGAGAAATCTTGCAATAGCGAAGCATTGCTGGGTCAGCTAGTAACTTTAGAAAAGAAACCAGTTTGTTTTTAATTCGTGGTAATTTTAAAAACAATTTCATGATGTTAGGGTAATTATATAGTATAATAATGTGATTTACGAATCTATAAACGCGATGCGTGCCTGATGATAATCAGTGCAGGCGTATACAAGGGGGTCAGGAGGCCCCAACACTCCCCCGTTGGCTCTGTTTTGGTATAAAGCTTAAATGATAGAAGGCAAATCATTATATTTCGCTTCCCCCCTCCCTTGAAAAATTCTGGGTACATAAATCATGTGACGAGCCCTAACTTATTGGTTTACTTTACTATGTACTCAAAAGCTTTAATCAATAAATCAACTGCAACAGAGAAATTAAATTAAATTACAAAGCCTTATGGATTATTTACTAGTTTTCATAAACATTCAGGTTTCTTAAATATTAATTACTAATTAGCATTAGCATTTAGCATAATAAATTGTGCAATAGCGAAGCAACTGATCGCAACTCGAAAGCGTTTTAAGAACAATTTTATTAAAATGTATAAATAAAAAAGGCTAACATATTTTTTTCCAATGTAGGTATAGGTAAAATAAACGTTTTAAAATGCAATGGGAAAATGTCAATTATCCGAAAATATTAATTACAAAATCTATTAAGACCATATTATGCAAAAAATCGAAGTATAAAATAGGTATTTATTTTGTTAAAAACTGTCAACGGGTTCATCATAAATACCGAATTATTTTTCATAGTTTTTTTCCCCAAACTATAGGTACCCATATTCTAAATATTAGCTTTTAAAAGCGCAATCTGTGCTGGAGATCCAATATTCCAACATATTGATGATCCTTGGTACTTGTAAGTTTTAAAGCACTCTGTCAACCCTACTAACAAGCATAAAAGATAAAGATTACGAAAAAAATTAAAAATATCTATTATATATATATATTTTTTTTTATGAGCTTTCAGTAAAAACTATTATAGCTTGACAGTTATATAAGTACATGATATAGATACAATACCAGTGTGGTGTTACAATAGTATACATTTATGATGGCATAGATAAGAAAAAAAAAATATATAATTATACATTGAGAAGAGTCTTGGTAATTTATATAAAATTAATTAATGATATAGAGCAGCCATACTCAACTTTTTTTTTTATTTGAGCCACATAAAATATTTAAAAATATTACGCGGGCCGCAAGTTGAAATTAATGGAACGGAAATTAAAAAAAAAAACTAAAAATAAATTTATATATTGTGTGTATTGTATAACATTTGAAAATGTAATATAAAAGAAATTAAATTAAATATTTATTCTTAATAAACTTAATAAAATTTACACTTATTAAATATTTATATTTAATTAGTGTGAATTTTGAAATTGAGATAGTTTTTTTTCACTATTTTGGATATATCTGGTTTGTAGTTGCTGCATGCTACTCTTAACAAGTCGTCAAGATGTGAATCAGTAAGCCGATTTCTGTACACATTCTTTGCATATTTCATTTTTGAAAAAATTGTGCCAAGGATTTTCTATAAGTAAAAAGCAATTCTGTACAGCTCTTAAATCCTGAAATCTTCTTTTAAATTCATTCGATAAGGCAGCTAAATGATTTAAAATTATCATATTATTTGTTTCAGAAATGAGATTAGATTTATAATAATATTAGTTTTGAAACTTATATTTTTTTATCAATTCAATGAGTTCTGTTCGGGCCACATATAAATCGTTGGAGGGCCGCAGGTTGAGTATCGCTGATATAGAGTAATGAAATAGAATCTTAAATTATAATGATAATATATAACGAGCTGATTGGGGGAGATGGAATTTGGATTATGGTGTAAATTGTTTTTGTAGAATAGTGGTGAGGAGGGAAATAAGTGGATTTATAAGAGCGGAGAGTTCTGTGATAAACTTAGTTAACAAATTATCATTTGGGAAATTATTATGTGACAATCAGATATATATTCCATGCTCCGTTCGGAACCCGGAAAACATATGTAGGTATACATGGCCAGACTGGGCAGGTGAAATACTGGGAGTTTCCCGGTGGGCCACTTGTACTCGTAGGGACGTTTTCTTTTTAGGTTTATCGGTCAAGGGCTAAGGCTCATCCTGTCGACAGACGTAGACGCATTTTCTAATGCGATTGTATTAGAAAACTGTACAGTGGCGAGTGGCGGCTTATGACTGTCGGACATGGGTGCGCGACAAAATATTTAGGAAGTTTCTTAAAATAGATATGAAAAAATGTATCAACTGTCAAAAATAGATGCTTGTGTCATATTATTATCTTCGTTAATCTGTAATCCCTACCGTATCTGCACCGCCTATAAAATGTGCGACAATATTTCTTACCATCACACGAACTTTTCCACTTATTCCGGTGCCGCCGAAATCATAATCGACACAATTTCCCAAAAGAGTTCAAACTTTAACAAATTGCTTGATGTGTATTCTGGAGTATAAACATATGCATTTTACATTTTTAAATAAAAATGATAACATTTCTTTGTACTAGCCAATTTTTAATTTTTAGTAATAATAATTTTAAAATTATTAAGCGCGTTCAAATTATCAAAATAATATAGAATCATTTTATATGAAAATATTTGTTTTTTTAGGGTTGTTTTTATGGGAGTACCTGAGTGGGCTGATTTTTTTTTATTTCCCAGTAGAAATTTTTGACCCAGTCCGGCCCTGTAAGTATATCCTATATACTATTAAAATACAATAAATTCTATGTAAAATCTCGATTTTTAAAAATATTGTGTTCAAAACAAATTTAACAATAATAAGTCATTACACATTAATAAATTATTATTATATTATAGGATAAAATATCATTGTATCGAATACTCTTTTTCATCGTTCTTATGCAGCCTCGCTGCAGGTTTTGTATTCGCCTATATTGCCCATTCATTAGGTATATCATTGATAGTCGGCCACTCCAACTGCATCCTAGTCTACATACATATCATTATAAAACTCGTCGCATTTATATTCTGAACCGTCCGGTCCGCTGACGTGTCGTATAATATTATAGTATGTCGAGTATATGCGCTCGACAGTCGCCCTGTATACATCGGGCTGCCTGTGGATCACACGACGGCCACACGAGTAATAATTATAATTTAAACTGGCGACGTACACGCACGACGAGACAATAATAATATAATAATAATAATAATAATATGTGCTAAAGGTAATACTACGCTTTACATATATTATTATAGTGTGCCTACACTAGATGTGTGTGTGTGTGTGTGTGTGTGTGTGTGTGTAATATATGTCGCTATATACACTGCGCCTAATATTATAATATTATACGCGTACCTATATACGTATATATCTGTTACATATATATATATATAAAGCTCCCATAGTCATACAGATACCTTATATATATATATATGTGTAAGAGGACGGGGCTCGTCCGTGGCCGTCGTCGAAGGCTTGTTAGCGCGTTATACGCATTGTGCCGGTGTAATCGGTTATAGGCGGAGTGACTTGTAGTTTTTTCGGTGCGTTTAAAAATTATTAATCAACAGTTATCGATTGTCTGCCGCAGTGTGTGGAGCCCCCACGCAACGTTGATTTTGTCGAAAACCGATCATCGATGGCTGCAGATATATATATATATATATATATGTGATATTATTACCTATATACACCCAATACATAATATAATATAATATTATACATTATTATCCACCGTCGTCGTCTGCTCCTCGGCGCACCACAGCCGACCTGCGACGACATAGGCACCCGTCACTTTATATANGACCTGCGACGACATAGGCACCCGTCACTTTATATACATATATATATATATATATACACACACGTGTGTGTGTGTGTGTGTGTATGTGTGTGTGTGTGTCCACCTATAGCTACACACTACCTATTCGTTAACTCGACTCTCACACACACACACACACACACTTCATTGTTAATATTTTAAACATTACGACTTGTACACATACATAGGTATAGGCACCTACATGCGAAGCGCGCGCGTGTATATAGGAGGAGTTGACTGTTTATTGTTGTGGGTAAAACAAATTTTACGCATCACACACCAAACACCTTTTAACGCGCGTTATACAGCAATAATAATAATAATAATATACCGTCCGCGATGTAATATTATACAAACACCGAAACACGTATACAAGGCGCTTTATTGTTTTGTTCGAGTGTTTTATTTTCGAAATGCACTCGTCTATGTAGGAAAAACGATAATGCATGTGCCTATACATCACCTATATATACCTGCCTATACCGCGATGGGTGTGCATGGTAATAATATTGTATTGCGGTATAGGTACGGTGGTTAAATAATACTATGGTATATTATATGGGTGTACGCGAGGTATTCCCGACGGCGGAGGCGTGAGATGCAAAATAATAACCGATTATTACTAGGTATACATGATGTTTACACCTATATTGATTGGTAAATAGTCGACACAAAAACCGGCCGTTACGCACTCTAATGTTTCGTGTACCTCTATTGTATGGGCGTCGAAAATTGTATGATAAGATGCACGATATTGCACCCGGCTGCAGTTGCGCCCCCGCACAACCGCTGCAGAGGACCCGACCGGACTATAAGGTCGAGAAAAATCGATGAAATAATATTATTACATGCAGTGTATAAAATACATGATATATATTTTTAATATCAATGTAGGCACATTTGATATTTTTATGCTTTATTTTTTTTAAATTTATGTATAATATAATATACTCATCAC